CAAGGACGGTGGGAGTTCAAGCAAAAAGCCAGCACAAGCCAACATAGCCGTGGATTTCTATATTTTCGATGGAGTGACAGACATCAATCTTACTGCAGTAGTCTCTGAGGCTAATTTGGTGGGCAATCACAAGGAGTGGTGGGTGGATACTGGAGCAACTTGCCATATTTGTGCAGATAAGAAGATGTTCACAACCTACAAAGTGGTAGAGAATGGAGAACATCTTTTTATGGAAAACTCCTCTGCATCAACTGTAGAATGACAAGGAAAGATTGTGCTAAAAATGACCTCGGGAAAAGAGCTCATTCTTAACAATGTACTCCATGTGCTGGAGATTCGCAAAAATTTGATTTCCGGGTCATTGTTAATCAAAAATGGGTTTAGATTAGTCTTTGAATCTGACAAGGTTGTACTCTCCAAGAGGTGAATGTATATGGGGCGAGGTTACATGAGTGATGGGCTTTTTAAGCTCAATGTACTAACTGTTGTACCAAATTTGGCTAATAATAATAAGAACACATCTTCTACTTATATTGCTGAGTCTTCTTTTTTATAGCATAATAGATTAGGACATGCAAATTTTAATTCTTTACGTAAACTTGTTTCTTTAGAATGTTTACCAAACTTGGAGTTTGATCCTAATCACAAATGTGAGAGTTATATTGAGACAAAACTCACCAAGGCATCATTTAATAAAGTAAAAAGAAGTACTGAACCTCTAGGTTTAATTCACATAGATATCTGTGATTTAAAATTTGTTCAAATTAGAGGAGGTAAAAAGTATTTTATTACTTTTATGGATGATTGCACTCGATATTGCTATGTTTACTTATTGAAAAGTAAAGATAAAGCCTTAGAAGCTTTTAAGCAATATAAACTTGAGGTTGAAAATCAATTTGGCAAAACTATTAAAGTAGTGAGGAGTGACAGAGGTGGTGAGTATGATACACCATTTGAGAAATTTTGTCCTGAACATGGTGTTATTCACCAAACCACTACACCCTATTCTTCTCAATCTAATGGTGTTGTTGAGAGAAAGAATCGAACTTTTAAAGAGATAATGACTGTCAAGTTGATTAGTTCAGGGTTACCTCAGAACTTGTGGGGAAAAGTGATTTTGTTTGCTAACTTTATCCTTAATATAATACCTCACTAGAAAATTAATCAAACACCTTATGAAGTATAGAAAGGTCAACGACCTACGTATAATTATCTCAAAGTGTGGGGGTGTTTGGCCAAGGTGGCAGTCCCTAGTCCCAAAACGACTAAGATAGGACAAGAAACCGTTGATTGTGTGTTCATTGGTTATGCAAATAATAGTAGTGCATACAGATTCTTAGTTCATAAATCTGAAAATTTTGATATGCATGTAAATGCTATTATTGAGTCAAAGAATGCGTTGTTTTTCGAACACATTTTTCCTTGTAAGGAAACTAAAGAGACAAGTTCAAATAAAAAGAACTTTTGATATTGCTATGGGTAGTAGTAAAGACCAAAATGATAATGAAGAAAATAAACCTAGACGTAGCAAGCCGGCTAGGATCTCTAGATCTTTTGGTCCAGATTTTTTGACATACCTATTAGAAAATGAGCTTTAAAACTTCAAGGAAACAATGTTAGGTCTAGAAGCTCCATTATGGAAATAGGCCGTGAATAGTAAAATTGAATCTATTTTGCAAAATCATACTTGGGAACTAGTGGATCTTCCACTAGGATATAAACCTCTTGGATATAAGTGGATATTCAAGAGAAAAATAAAAGCAGATGGTTCAATAAATAAATACAAGGCTAGGCTTGTTATTAAGGAATACAGGCAAAAGAAAGGCCTAGATTATTTTGATACCTATTCACCAGTGACAAGAATATCATCTATTCGCATGCTAATAGTGATTGCAACATTATATAATCTAGAGATACATCAAATGGATGTTAAAACAACCTTTTTAAATGGCGAGTTAGATGAGGAAATCCATACGGAACAATCGGAAGGGTTTCAAATTCCTAGCTAAGAGAAAAATGTTTGTAAACTTGTCAAATCCCTTTATAGATTAAAATAAGCTCCGAAACAAAAGTTTGGTCACGCTACGCTTTCGGTTAGTTTTAAAATAAACGAATGTGACAAATGTGTCGATGTTAAAAGCATAGACAATGGCTATATCGTAGTTTGTCTTTATGTGGATGACATGCTCATTATTGGAAGCAATAATGACATGATTAAATCCACAAAGAAAATGTTGAACAAAATGTTTGACATGAAAGATCTAGGAATAGCATATGTAATTTTAGAAATAAAAATTACTGGAACATTTGAAGGATATGCTTTATCTTAGTCTCATTATATTGAGAAGATTTTGGAGAAATTTGGAAAGCATGATGACTGTCCTGCTAAAACACCTGTTGACATTAGTCTTCATTTGTTAAAGAATACAGATGTAGACATATCACAATTAGAGTACTCTCAGATAATCGGAAGCTTGATATACTTAATGAATTGCACTAGGACAAATCGAGTAGGTACACAAGTAATCAATTGTCAAATAACTGGAAAGAGATAATTAGGGTTCTTAGGTATCTAAGACATACCCAGAATTATGGCTTACATTATACCAAATATCTAGCAGTGCTCGAGGGGTACAACGATGCAAATTGGATATCGAATACTAAAGACTCAAAATCTACTAGTGGACACATCTTTACCTTAGGAGGTGCTGCAGTCTCTTGGAAATCCTCCAAGCAGAAATGCATAGCAAGGTCGACAATGAAATCTGAGTTTATCGTATTAGATAAAACAAGAGAAGAAGCAGAATAGATTCGTAATTTCTTAGAAGACAATCCAATATGGCCTAAACCTGTACCAGCTATATGCATTTACGGTGATAGTGAAGCAGCAATAGGACAGGCACCGAATCATATGTATAACAGTAAGTCTCGACACATTCGTCGAAGACATAACACCGTTCGGCATTTGCTCTCATATGGAATAATTTCCATAGAATATGTAAAGTCAAGAGAGAATATTGCGGATCCATTGACTAAAGGGCTAGCCAGAGAGCAAATGTACCATTTATTGAAGGGAATGAGATTAAAGCCTATTACTTAATAGTCGCCATAATAGCAACCCAACCTAGTTGACTAGAGATCCCACGATCTAAGTTCAAAGGGACAATTGAATTATGGATAGCTTCATATATCACTACGGAGGTTTACTCCTACCCATATCTATGATAAGATAAGTGATACCTGCAGCATTAGTAGGACAAGCTTTGCTTTTTGCTTTTAATGATTCTTATAGCTTAGACATCCAAGTGAGGTATGGCAGGATATTCTTAATAAGAAGTTACCTATATGAGTGTGAACTAGGTCGGTTCTGTGAGAATTGAGAAAGCTAAATTCTCTAGAGCACTCATGAATTGCCAGGTGTTATTCAGGGCCAAAATGAACACAGTTGTAAGAACCAAACTGTGTCTGCAGATACACTATGTGTAGTCTATTGTCTTAGCTTACACAAACAGCTGAACAGTTCAAAGCATCACGTCCATTGGTTAGCTAGTAAGTTCGATAGGCTTTCACTAGAGGAGGTTCAAAGCCAAAAGCTACTTATCTTGATGTAGTGTATCTTCTTAATGTACTCTTTCTTTGTTTGCATTTTGTTGCATGCCCGTTATCATAAATTCCATTCATGTGTGGGAGATTGTTGGAAAATGGTTTTGTAAATATCTTATTTTTTTGCTAAACTTTGAGCATTAATTAAGGTTGGACCCAAGCGTTATTTTTGACATTTCAAAATGGGTTCATATTTAATGTCGCGTAGTGAATAATATCGTGTATTTGGTTGCTCAAAACCATTTCCGAATGAATGAGAATTCAACGCGCATTTTCGGATTTGTGAACATGGAAGTTGAAGAGACAGTGTGGGTTTAATCATTAATTGGCTTGTCTCACGTTGAAACAAAGAGAGAGTTTATATGAGTATGTAAACTCTAGCTTGCCATACTTGGAATGGACCCCAAGAGGCACCCCAAGTTTTGTAAGAAAGGGAGTTATGGACAACGTAGGCTTGGCCCAAAACCACCACACACGCGCCGCCACCGTCTATCTAATCGGCCGAGCCGAGGTCAGGTCCTAGCTTTAATTTTTTGGACAAAATTCGTTTGAATTTTTTCAAATTCTTGCAGGAAAATTTTGGAAAAAATTAAAATTTTGTGTCAAAATTTCAAATTTTTCTGAACCGGTATCGTTCTGGTTGTGACTTTCCAACCATGGCCGAGCAGCCCCCAAGGCCTACCAGGTGCATGGTTGGCTATAAATAGCCTGGCATTCCAACAATTCAAGGTATCCTATTTTTCCCAAACATCTCTTCCATCTTCTTCTTCTTTTCGTCTTCCCGTGCTCCTACATTTGTCCAGCATTTAGTCTATATGAAGAGAAAGAGAGAGTTATAGTGTTGTTTAGTTCGCTAGTTTTGATTTTGTAGTACTGCAAATCAAATAGTAATTGTTGCATCTTGGGAAGTCGGCGCGAGTAAATCTCGAAGTACCGGAATGAGAGCGAATACAAGTCTCGACTTAAAATTTCTATAAACAATTAATTCAGAATTTAATTTGTTTAATTATTTTTTAAATTATTTAATTTTTTATTATTTATACATTTAAATTACACACATAATCACTGGATAATAACAACTATAATATTAACTATTGATAAAAAAAAAATTACGTATGACGTGCAAGGCAAGTGCAGCACCACTAATTACATAAAACAATCGACAAAATTAAAGCATACAGTCCAGTTGAAATTTCAAAACAAACATAGGATGGTTGGGCCCACGGATTAATAATCCTAATCCCATACTTTAATCCTTCCAATCAAACATGCCCTTAAATTACACACATAATCACTGGATAATAACAACTATAATTTAACTATTGATAAAAAAAAAATTACGTATGACGTGCAAGGCAAGTGCAGCACCACTAATTACATAAAACAATCGACAAAATTAAAGCATACAGTCCAGTTGAAATTTTTGGAAGACAGATAATTCCTTTGCTTTAGGACAAGGCTCTACCGAGAGACTGTCTGATTTTCCAGACTGTAGTGTGTGTGGGGGGATCGCTGGGTATGGTGAATTGGTGACGTTTAGAAATCAGTAACCAACTAGTGTTTGAAGCAATAAACATGGTGTGGGAAGCAATTTTGTGGGTCATCTTCTTCCTCATGACCATGGGCCTCATCGCATTGAATCTCTACCAGGTACACTGTCTTCAAGATCATCATCTACAATTTAATTTATATAAACCCTAAACCCTTCATTTGGTTGCTGAAAATCTGAATGAAGACAAATTGACTATGATTGTTGTTGTTGTTGTTGCAATTGTAGTGTCTGATAAACGATTTACTAGTGCAGATTGTGTGCTTATCGGATTTGGAGGCCGACTATTTGAACCCATACGAGTCATCAGCTCGCATTAATGCTGTGATTGTCCCTGAGTTTGTATTGCATGGCGTCTTCTGCGCTTTATTCCTCCTCACGGGACATTGGTTCATGTTCCTTCTTACCCTTCCTATTGCTTGCTACAATACCATCTTGTGAGTTTCTTCATCTTCAATTTCTTTTGAGTTGCTACATTTATGTCAATTGTTTCACTGTTGCTCTTCTTACTTGCATCAAAGCTGATCTCATCTGTAATGTCTATGATGTTATACCATCTACTTTATGCTTTTAACTTGTAGATTAAAATTTTATTTTAAGATGAAAGTTTTGAAACACTCAATCAATGATAAGATGTGCTTTCCACATTAAAATTATATGTGGGTTACTGACGCATATATTTTTTGTGTATGATAAGTGGTCAATCATTTCCTCTGAGGTGGATTCACACCACTCCTACAATTTTAATACCTGACAAACACAATATGATCTATTGACAACTTCGTAATTGTTTATGAGGATTATCTAACGTCTAAGCCACCATGTTATAGCTTTTTAAGCTTTGAAGTTTATCTTTGTAATCTATAGATATGATCATATGATGTGCTTGTATTTCAGTAGGCTCAAGTCTATGGTACGCACCCTTTTAAAGGAAAGGGTGTGCATCATATGCAATTTATGCCCCAATATGGAGTTGTTTATGACTTGAAGTTGTGGTGGTGGTTCCACATATGGTCATATGAAAATGGCGTAAACCTTGGTTATGAACCCAAGTAGTGAAACCTCCTGAATCATCCTGACAGTCTAAGGTGGAAGGCCTCCCTTCAGGTCAGTTTTGTGTGTCATCCATTAATATGTGAGATGAATATCTATGAAGCATGGGTACAGGTACGAGTACTATTACTGGTAATATGGTAAAATTTAAAAAAAGTAAGGTACGGGGTACGACTTGGTATGTTTGTAAAAAAATATTTATTTTTAATCTAGAGTAATGCAAAAATTAGTTAAATGATTTAATTTATTAAGATCCAACCTATAATTAACATTTAATGCCAAAGTAAAGGTATAAATCAAAATTAAATGTCAATAACATATTAAATAACTTACAAACTATAGTTTAATTTTAAAATCATGCTAAGCATAGGACTAAAAATGAAAAAAAAAAAGTCTAGTGAAAGAAGTTTTATCTCTGTAGTAGAAGAAAAATTTGTTTCAACTGAGATACGGTAAGGCTTGGGTATATACTAGGTATGACTGGGTATGTCAAAAATTAAGAAGAAACAATTTGAGTATGTGTTTTGTGTATCCGGTAAGTATGCAAAAGTACTATACGAGGTACTATATGCCAGTAAGTACCTAGTACGGTACGGCATGTTTTTTGAAGTACCCATGCTTCATAAATGAATATGTTTCTTGGTCTTCTGTCTTGGTTCATAATATGTTGTGGAATAGTGTGCCCTCCAAAAGTTCAATTCTTTGGGTGGTTGGCATGGAAAGGGAGAATAAAGGCTTTGTCATTTGTGAGAGTAGTTTGCTTTGTGCTCACGGCATGGTTCTTTATCATCAATAAAGTTTTTTTCGCTGATAAAAAAAAAGAAAAAAAAAAAAAGAAAAGAAAAGAGTAATAGATGAGAATGTTAGTTCTGAGTGTATTTCTGCAAGTCTGGTTTGGAAAATGTGAATCATGTTTTGTTGCACTGTCCACTTCCTTGGAATGTGTGGTCTGAATTGATCAAGTGGTGGGGGATCCAATGTGTTACTGCTATTCTTCATAGGACTCAAATGAAAGGGTAGGATTAAAAAAACAGGGAAAGGAGCATTAAAGATAGAGGCATAGAGCTGCCAGCTCAGTGTCCACATCGCTTGAATAATATTTGGTATGCATCATGCATGATAATTTGCTTTTATTTTTAGTTTTTAATGTCAGTTTGGAGGCAGGGAGAGAAGCTACTTCCTCACTCATTTCTGCCGCAACTGCTGCATGCATGAATTTAGTGGCCATTGAATGAAACACCCATGTTTATTGTAATTTTAAAGCTACTCTGATGAAGACAAAACACAAAACAAAAATTTTATTTTTCCTTTGATGTCTTGAAGCCATTTGTTCCTTTTCTGGATGCTATGTTCTTCATTTACTATATACCCTATTTGTAATTGTGTTTTAGTCATGGAATTTAACTTTCTGTATTTTTCAATGAAGCTTTCTCTTGATGTCACTTGTTTAGTTTGATTATACTTGCCTGTAATGTTTATTAATCTGCCTTGTGCAGCTGTGCTTCTAATGTTGCCCTTGCCAGAGTTTACCTGTGATGCTTTTAAACTTGTTTGCAATTAGATTAAGCATAATATTATGTCTACTGAGATTTTTTCTTCTTATTTAATTTAGATTTTGTTTATTTATTTTTTAAATTGAAGCATTTTTTTTTCTTTTTTTTTTCCTTCTCCTTTTCCTATGTTTCAGATTTATGAAGCGACAGCATCTTATTGATGTCACTGAGGTCTTTAGGTTTCTTAGTGCAGAGAAAAAGTATCGAATTATCAAGCTTGCCTTTTACTTACTTCTCTTCGTCTTGGTCATTTTCAGGTTTGCTTCGATTCTTTATTTATTAATTTCTTAGTGGAATTTATGCAGTTCTTATTTTACATTTTTGCTAATTGAATGTTCTGCTTGCTTCCTGGGTCTAGAATTCTATCTACGGCGACATTATCTGCCATGTTATCGGTCTTCCATTTCAATACTACTGAAGAATTAGACATTCGCTCGTCCTTTCTTGAATTCTAGAAGCTTAGCTTTCATATCTTGACCTGTATGTTTTGTCCTTTTCCCTTCTCATTTGACTATACTTGATCTCATTGCTTATCTATAGCAACAAAAAATCTAATCACATAGATGTTAAGGATATTTGGGTCCACTAGATTATGATGAAGCCTATTGAGTCATCTAACCTATTTGTAATAACTGAGCCGACACCATTACTGGTGGTTGTATTGTTGAAACATGCCTGAAGCATTTTAATATGTTTATAAGGTGGCCGTACGCAACATGTTCCCTAAAAAATATAGCTCACTGCCTATGGATTTTTTGTAATTCACACATATTGCCTCTTATTTGGAAGGAATTATTCTTAGTTGACAAGGACATTCTCTTGGCCATGGCTTCTATCTACATTATGGTTCATGAATTTGAACCTGGAGTTTGGTTTGTACAAGAAAAGCCTAAAACTTAAAAGCTGCAAAGCCAAAATGCTACCTCCTGAAAACTAAATGAAACTTGGGTGATTGCTCATATATTAAGAGTAACCATGATTGATGTTAGTTGCTTCCTTCAATGAATGAATGAAGTCTGGTAAATTATTTGATGAACCTTGTTGTAGCCTGAACTTCATAGGAGTTACTTAAAGCATGTGATGGGCAAAACAAAGAGAAAGTACAAAGATAGAAGAGATGAAAGAAAGATAAGATTGTGTTGGGGGAAGTTGTTTTAGAATTACAAAAATGCTTTTTGTGGTGGGAAGGAAAATTTGGTATGCAGTTTTTTAGTGGCTAATGAGAGTATTGATTTGAGATTGAAAAGTGGGATCTCCATGGTTGGTGTGCAAATTGGACAGAGAAGGTTTATGGTCATGTAAATTGACACTTTCTTTATGTGATGAAGAGGATGCGGTTTGGTGCTAGATGGAGAAAGTGGATTTGTTTCTGCATTTCACGTTGATGTTGTTAGTGTTGGTTCTCTTGCAGGTTTCTTTCATACTTATAGAGGTTTGATGTAAGATGGGCGTCAGTCTCTTCTATTGTTTATTTAATGGCGTTAAGTCGTATATTTGGTAGGGCAGTGGGGGTTAGGATGTGGAGGGTGGATGATTTAGTGTTTGTGATATCTCATTATTGTTTGGAAATGATTCTATTGTATTTTGTGAGGCAGATGCAACTCAGTTGGGTTATGTGAGATGTGTGCTTTTGTGCTTTGAGGCGGCCTGGGTAACTAGAGGAAATTATAGATCCTTTCAGTGGGAGAGGTGCATAATATTGTGCCATTTACTGTGAGTGAGCTATAAAAATCTAGATAATGGATAAGGTTACAGCAGGTTGTGAGAATACAGCTCTTACAGGCTCCCTCTTGCCAAACCCATGCTCGATTATCCAAAAAGCTCTCTTGACTGCCCATGATCATCTAGCCCTTTTATTTTTGAGGCCCACATGTCTTTAGATCCATTAATTCATATAGCTCACAATTGGGTCCGTTACCTGTAAGAGAATTCACTAATGCCACACATAAGCTCGTAGTGATGATGGACTGGTGGCCCAATTCTCAAGAGGCCCCACTTGGTTTTAGGGTCCATGAACCCATATCCTCAATTTGACTCATTGGACAAGGCCTAGCTCGTCATTGCAGAAGAATTTGGCATGAGGCTAAGGTACAAGATGAGAAGGGCTTAGGCACTCAACCTGCTTGACTGCTGGGTCAATCTCAGTGCATCACTTAGTTGGTTCTATTAAGCCCATTAAACCCATTATACATGAATCAAAACTAATAAATAAAGTTCCAAAGAATTGATGACAGGGATTAGATAGCCTGCAATTCCAAGTGTGGACAGAGCTATCCTTGATTGGTATATGTTATTCCAGGTGGGAATTTGTATCAACTTAATTTTACCAAAAAGATCCATTTTACTCCAAATTAAAGTTGATAATTTCAATAAAATCCAATGCCTTCTTAGAAGTGTCTTCATAGGCTTTTTGTGTTTCTCTCAATTCACTAGTCTTGTTTTGGGTAATGTGGAGCTTATTAGACTATAAGATGGTATTTGGAGGGGTGAGAGTCCATTTTCTCTTTTGTTCCCACAACCTTATCGCCTCTCTAGAGCTCACAATGTTTCAATTGCCTCGATGATTTTTATCTAATTTCACTCCAATTTCTTGAAATTTTCAGTTTTTTGGAAATCTAATTGACTGTGAGATCAATGAGCTTACTTCCTTTTTGGAAATTCTTGATAGTCTCTTTCTGCAAGGTTGCCTTTCTTTAAAGGCAGTGGACCATTCATTTATCTTGATTGTTCTTTGCTAGTCATAAGTTAATTGATGATCCAGTTCCATTTTTTGACCCTTACAAGATGATTTGGAATGCTTGAGTGTTTATTAAGGTTAAAATGTTTGTGGACCTTGGTTCCCAAGGAATTTAATACTAAATGACATGGTTCAAAAGAGAAGACCAATTTGTTCCTTACTACCTCAATGGTGTCTCATGTGTAGGGGGCAAAGGAAGTACTGATAATTTATTTTTGCATTGCCCTATTTCCTTATCTTTATGGTGGAGGGTGTTTCGCTCAGCGGAGGTGGATTGGGTGATTCCTGCTTCTTGTGTTCACTTATTATGTCTTGATCTTAGAGGTTTTGGATTAAGTGACAAAGCCCGGGCTATTTGGAAGTGTAGTGTGCGTGGTTTTTTGGGTCATGTGGTTGGAAAGGGATGCTAATATTTTTGATGATCATCCTATCATGCATCATTTAGGAGAGCTTGGAATTGGAGAATCTAATTGGAACACTCACCATTACCCACCTCATGTACTGTCCTCCACCATCACCATCCCACTACTACCAACCACCTCCTGTAGCTTATCCTCCATCTCAAAACTATGGATATGGTATATTTGGGCCACCTGTTCCTTATGGCTTTGTTTATCAACATCCTACAAATTCTGTAGTAGTACACTGGATATTGAATTGAAACCTCCAATTATTTCTATGGACACCAACCACATCTGTAAGGTTATGATGATAACATGAGTGGGGGTTACCAATGTTAGAATTATTGCCCCTAGGCATTGAATTAGTGATACTTCAATTGCAAAATTGTCAATTAACTACAAACCGATTGCCAATGGGTGGAATAGCCTCTAGATTGTATGAACTGAACTTGGTTAGCTTAGAGAAACAATGTAGGATAAGTCTATAACACTCCTGGCACATGCAACCTAGTTGCATGTGGAGGTGACAAGGAGAAGAGACGAGAGAAATCGACTCGTGTGGAGACTTGGCCCACTGGAGACCACCTAAGACCTAGCTCTCCTAGCTGCTTGCTCGGCTCTAAGGATGTCCATGGACTCCAAAGAGCCCCGACCATCTCTCGGGCTAATGCCCCCATGGCATCTTGGCCCGATTGTCTAGCCACATTGTTCTAGCCAACTCCTTGTGGAGGAATATGTTGTTGCGTGGGAATATCCCGAGCACCATGACTACCACGACCTCTACCATGTCCTGACATCCCATCTGAAAGTTGAAACAAGATTAAACTCGCAATTCATATACCCATATGCCACCTCACACGTCACACACAAGTTAAGTAAGAACCTATACATACATCACATAAGGCAAACCAAATAAGCACACATAGTCACGTAGTGCACATACGAATAAGATATTGATTTGTCCCACAATGTTCAAAAACTTCCAAGTAGAAAAAGCATTGATCAAGTGCTTTTTTAAGAGGACTTCTAACAATTTCATGGACACAAACTAAGTTTAATTCCATACCCACATAGTCACATAAACACATAAAACATACAAGGCCAATAAACGTCCCATCCTAGCATAGTAAGCCCATTATGGCAAAAGCCACGTCCCACGGGACCAAGGTATTCAAACCTGGTTAACTTTGATACCAAGTTGTAACGCCCTGATAGTTAAATAATTTTTTAATTACCAATCATTTATTCTTATTTCCATTTCACAATAGATGAGGGTGTACAATGAAGATATGAGTAGAAAACATGAATCTCTTTCCCATTGAACTTCCCAAAAGTATTACAAGTTTCCATTTCATTTGGATCCTTTTAGAGTTCAAAATAATTACAATAGTGGTTCAAAGAGATAGAGAAATACAAATAAAGATGCCCTAATGACTTACAACTTTCAGGACAAGGGTTTTGGTTATAGAAATGTTGAACACATTCCCAAACAAACAAGCTCGATAGCTATCACAAGTAAGCATTCAAAAAGTGCCTCAGTGCTCCATCCAATCTTCCACCTTCTTGTCAATAGGATGGAATTACATCATACACCAAACCAAACCAAACCAAACCAAGCCTTAAGTCCTATCAAACCCTAAAATGTTATTTTATGATAGGAATGAGCGAGATTGTCCCGTAGAAATACATTTAACAAAGCATATAAATATGTGATAACAGTATGATCATGCCAATGCAATGTCATGCTTAAAATTCATAGTTTTGTTTCTTCTCAAAAGAATGATACGTCAATGCACTTTTAAATTCAACAAAACATCGATTTTAGAGCGGTAGTGCGCACTAGAATCCCAAGGTAAGAATGAGATACATGTACATAGATTTTATGTCAAAATAGCCTCACATTTACCGGCTCAATACGGAAGGGCAGTTGAGCACCTAAAACAATCATTTTCCCACATTTACTGGCCTCAAGCTCATAAGGGCAATTGGACACCTTGACTCCTTACGCAGATACTAACACAATACTCAACACATTTCCAAAACCAACTGTCTACCCGGATTACTATGCTATTTACCCCCTTTCCAATATTCCAACATCTATTATGATAAAACAATATGAGCTCAAAACCATGAAATGCAATGCGATGCATGAGTTCACAAATATAATAATATGCCTAAAGTCCCTTTTTAATTTTATGAGAAATAAACATTATAATCTATGGGGAAGAGGTATTACAATCTCATAGTTTTCAATAGTTTCCATTATCATCCATCAATATGACATAATTCCCAAGATTCATATCATTTCAAGATTTCCGAATGTATCAACATATCATCAACTCAATGTCATCACAAGTATGAATTTACTCTTAAATCTCTCCTTTAGATTCAAAATAACAAACTAGGGTTTTGTAAAATTTGGGGTTTTCCTCATTTCCATCATCTATCAAAGAATCATCCACAGATGACCACTTTTACACAGAAACTTATTTCAAAAGTTTGAGTGAAAACCTTATTTTCAAACATCAACACCTCTTTGATCAAAACCATCTTTCTCATTGTTGGCACATAAATTTCAACCAACTTTATGTTCAAATTTCAAATACGATCAAACAATTAATGACACGTATAGCACCTATGATAGGATTGTCGTAGGTAATCGCTTCCTAAAATGATCAACTTGATCCGTGAAGTGCATAATTAAAATGACATCGTATCTCAGCGACGTTATTCAAGATACTCAAATGACACGTGGAGCCTACAAAAGATGATACCTGTAGAGCCTACAGTAATAACACCATAGGATAAGTCCAAAGGAACAATATAGATAATCAGATATGGTTACATCTAGATTCAGATGTCACTATCATTCAAAATTCAAAATGGCGTTATCATTCAATTTGAAATTTGAAATTCAACTTGAGGATGAGACCCTCTTACCACCTGGATGGCCCTTTATAAATGAGGGATCATCACACAAAAAGGGGAGAAAATCAGAAGTTAGAAGATCAGAGAGAGAGAAAGAAATTAAGAGCTAAAGAAGTCACTACAAGAAAGGAGAAGTCGAGAGCTTACACTACACTGCAAGCATTTGATACGATGTCAAGCTTTAGGTAAAGGGTTCCGAACCCAAATATTGTATTTTGTATCTAAGGGTTCTAAATCCCTACAATTTCAATAAAATATTTCTTTTCCTTAATTTGTCTTTTGTTCATTTTTTGTTCTTCATTAATTGGACGTTTCATTTAAATAAAATGTGTAATTAACGATCTGAAATGCGAATCGGAAATAGAAACTTGCTATTCAAATAATCAACAGTGTTTGGTCCAAAAACTAAATAGTGAACATTTGTAACATGAATTTTGAAATGTGTTGAAACACTTTACGTTTCAAAATTTGTGTCTACACTCATACATCTTTATATCTAAGAAAATACCATGTACTCTTATCAAAATATAGATATACAAAGTTAAAAGGTATTCCTACCTCAAGGAAGAGAGAGAAGGGTTGAAGACTCAAACTTTGACGACAATGAAAACATGATCTGATCTGTTCCAAACGTAGCCCTTGACGTGGTCTAACTTTTTCCCTCAAGAATTAGGATAGATTTCGCCCCCAGGTAGATGAAACCCAAGCTTGAAGCTCCAAAAATGGAGGGGAGAGAGAGAGAGAGAGAGAGAGAGAGAGAGAGAGAGAGAGAATGCTTCTATTTATAGTTGGGGAAGGGGGGTGGGAATGTGGGGCCCAAGAATATATAAAATATAAAGTCAAAAATCACAAAAAGTGGGGCCCAAAACGTGGCTGAAGTGTTCTTTTTTTTTTATGGTTGAAGTGTTTTTTTTTTTTTTTTTTTTTTGGTCAGGTGTTGACACCTTGATGAGGGTGTCGTCGCCCACAGACAAGGGCGCAAAGGGCTGAGCTCAAACATAGGTGGAGTGTCAACACCAGAGAACCTAGGTGTCGACACTAGAAAACAAAAGGCTTAAGAGAAATAAAAAAAACGCTGCAGGTGTTGACCCCAGAATGTCCTGGTGTCGACACTTGCAAGCAGTGTACACTAGATTCAATCCAGGCCAGACGGTGTCGACACTAGGAGACGGTGTCGACACCCAAAAACAGCAAGCCTCAGAAAGAGGGAGGGAAGGCAAGTGTCAACACCCAAGAGCTCAGTGTCGACACC